TAGCACATAAAAGTCAGAGCGTAAACAGATACTCTGACAGACAGATATAATAGAATAAGGATACACGGCTTTATGTTTAGACCGTTATGACCTATTTCGTATACCGACGACATTATGCATACAGGATCATCGAAGATGTAGCACTTTTACGAGTTCGTAAACCAGTTCAGTGGACCGTTCTCTATGTTATCAGTATAAACAAACAGAAAAAGGTGGGTCAGTCGGGCCATGGGCAATGGTTGAATTGGGTTTGGCAAGTTGCAATGGATTTATCTCTACCATAACTAAATTTGATTAATGATTGAAAATGAGTGAACTAATACAAGCTAAAAGTAACCTTTACCAATTAGTCATCGATATATCTTCATATGTTTATCTTCGGCGTATTCGTTTGTATACAACTAGCAGACTAAAACGAGCTTACCGCAGGCTCTCAATAAACAGACTCACAAAAATAATGAACATTGATGATTAATGGATTATAGGAAGTATAAGATCAAATACAAGACGTTTAACATGGTTGGTGTAAAAATAAATACTAGCTTCTTTGCTAGTATTTATTTTTCTTCATCTAGATTGATCTTGAAATGTGACGATCAGCAACAACTCAAAACAATGTATGTTAATTTAAAGGTGGACTACACTAAATCGTTGTTGTTGTTGTTGCCGTTATCTCTTTTATTTTTGAGTCTAGGTTCCCTACCTTCTCTTTTCAGTAGACCTTTTGCGCCAAATAAAGTTTATGGGTGTGTGTTTCGATATCTCATCGAGGTATTTCTTTATGGATACGATACCCAGCAGTTTCGGGCCAAAGCCTATCGCCGTCGAAACTTTATGCTTATCAATGAATGTTTCCATTTGTGGAAGATAGCTATGCGCTAGTAGGAAAGTGTTACGTTGATTTTTCTTTTATGATTTCTGGCGTTTCCTCTTTGTGTCAGTTCTTCGAACGTCAGTCCCGCGAACGATGTTCACTCCCACATTTTATGTTGCGCGGTCAAAGTCAAATCGCAGTCAGCAGTTTTGTAAATGCTTCCTCTCTCTCGCTCAGCGTTGATCTTATCGGTTTGTATTTTATAGTATGCTTATATTTAGTTCCTTCTTTCCATCAGAAAGGCCATGATCATCATCATCATCACTAGCTGCAGCCACAGTAGCATCTACATCTACTAATAGTGGAAATGTGTATTATCATGATGTTATTACCGTTAACGGTAAATGTGTGTTCACCGCTTGGCCCCACCTCCTCTTTTTTGCCGCCCCCCACTTCCCGCACACCTAAGCACCCGTCTTCGGGTGTCGTCAATCATGCCGTCATCGTGTGAGCTCACGAAGATGTCGACAGCTGCAATGGCGGTGGTGGTGGCATGTTCATCAATCAACCACAGCATTTCCATACGACTGAATGAATCACAATAGCTTTTTCATTACTTCACGGAGTCATTTTTTTGGTAGTACTTATACGTCCGGTGGTGATATATTAATAATACCAGTACGGCTCGAGAACTGTGTTGGGCCAAAAATGAAAACTGAATTCGTCGGAGCTTTTGCTGTCAAAGCACGAATTATATGACTCGAGTGGCCGAGTTTTTTTTTCGCGACAATGAAAAGTTGGTAATGATAAAAGCTGTTGCTTCTAAGTTCTTATTCATTTTTTTCCATACCCCTTCCACAATTCATATTTTCAGCTTTCTTCAACTCCTCGTTTATCTTCTACTTCTACGTTTTTTTTTTCACCCGCTTAATGGTGAGAATAAAAACCGAATGAAAATCAGCTGCCTTCTAACGCAAGCTGCTGCCGGGAAAAAAAAGATGTTTTCCTTTTTCAATTCCGTCACGAATTAACAAACGAACGGAAGACTTTGAAGCTTCACGACTGCTACCCCTAGTCACTGCGCGTCAATACTATAGGTACTATGGTGCGACTAATCGGAACCGCACGGCTCCTCTTTGTGACAGACTATCCCGCTTCATTGAATTCTTTTAAAGTAATAATTATAGAAATATTATTAATATGGTGATGGATGAAGACTGCCATTTGCTTTTGTGTGACAACACATTTTTTTAGATCTACGCGTTTCAAGACTGGCTGAATGAAGAGAGCAAACAGTATCTTTCTACCAGCACTTAATATTTGTGAACATGTGTACGACGATATAGATCGATAGCCAACTATAATCAACAACTGATTGTAGTCTAAAGGCAGTATTACGTCAACAGCGCTACAGGATTAGCAGAGGCTTTTAAAACTTCACTTTAAGTATAGTTAACCGTCTTAAAAATTTTGTTTAAAAAAACAACTTGTCTTAAAAACTTGTTTTAAAAATAATTTTTGCCTTCTTTCCGAATAGCGGTATAACCAATTCCACTTGATAACGCCACCTATCGGGGAAGTTTCCCGTTGAATTGCATGCTAGCGCCGATTATGCTACTGTCTTTGATCTGTTTTACGTTTCATTAAGCATTTGGCTACGAGCTTTGTCAAATATTCAAGTACCAGATTCGTAGGCATAGCTCTCTAGTATCTGATAGCTGAACTATTTTTTCGGTTGGGATAATTATTTTTCTGAACATTGTGCCATCGGTGTTTATTTCCAACTAAATCTTGCTTTGCATTTGCCATTTTTCGAATCTGTCCTATTGTAATTGCGTATCGAAAAATTCTGAAACAATAGGATACTCTCATGTTACGTGGGTGTACCGACAATATATGCATATCATCGACATATATACAGATAAATTCTGATAACTTTCGTTTTTCTAGGAAACGTATAGTTTGATTGGTCACTTCAGTCAGTCTCTCAAGTTATGGTTATCTTTAGTAGCAATTTACCTGCTTTGATTTCGTGCCGTGTCCTTTCTTTTGATCAACTATAAGAGTAGTAGTAAGAAAATCACGACGATCAGCTGCGGAGCTTTTTTGCTATAATATTTCTAAAAGTTTCACAATCTTCTTATGCAATAATAAAACGATTCACCTACAGTTCTATATTGTAAGTTACTAGTGGAGCAAAGAATGTTGGCCTTCAGAAGTCGGTTTAACATAACCGGCTATTCGAATGGCAATTCCATTGCTGTTCTCTGCCTGAGATTGTGGTGTTTGGCCTAGCGTTCCCTTTGTCCGTGTCGTGTGATATGCCCGGAAAGCTCTGCTACTGCAGCTGCTGCTGCTGCTGCATTGCTGCACGCAACATTAGGTAAACCGAACTGCCTCCACCTGTCATTGCCCATTTGGTGGAAGGTACGAAGAAGCTGAGGCTCATGGCTCCTTCCTCCAGTCTCAGTGTCTTAAGAGCCCCAGCAGCCAAAAGGTGTGACATAGCACTTCAGGCACCTAAAGGTAGGCCAAAAAAACCTTTACCGCTCAAACACTACAGACAATATGCGACTCTATGTGCCAGTTGCATACTGTCAGTACGCTAAGCTAAAGCAATGTTAGACAGCTACACCGAGGCCTGCACCAGGACAAAGCATTCCGATTAGCAACGGAGGTAATCAATAGAGTTACTCCTTCTGAATAGCAAAATGGTAACTATTACTGTGCCGATGCTGTAACTTAATATCCGAAGAAACTACGGAAGTGAACCGAAGCGGAGGCACTCAATACAATGCTATACAATAAAATAGCTGCAATGACAATCGTAACTGGGAAGAACAGCTAGAGTCACTGGCAATGCTAATTGCCGTAGATGTTTCCGACCAATGGGGTAAAGAGCAAGAAACTAAAATCGGAATTTTAATGCAGCGGTAGTTTATCGTTAGTAACCCAACTGCGGGACATCTGATATTTCTTGTTAAGACATATGCATCTCATATGCATGCAGACAAAAAAACATAGCGTGCTAACTGATATACTACTTCCATCAATCAATGCTTATAAGCACTGGTGACTCATTGTACATATTTCTTATAATTCTTCGAATATAAGACTTGTTTCACTAATATTGACCTAAGGTAACATATATACGTCTGCAGTGTTGTCTCTTATAAGAGAAGTCATCATCACTGCCATCATTGGGGTGATACCACAGATGACGACAGAAATAACATTTTAGCACTACTACACAGTAAAGCTGCGGGTAGAATATGTAGAAAAGGTAGTAGAGAATGTCCTCCAACGTGTTGTAAACAGCCTAATGCATTGTTGGCTATTATGGTTAAATCAGTCTACAGCGGCGATTATAGTACAAGAAGATGCAAAGTTCTAAGTCCCGTAATAGCTATACACTGGTCTAAACTTCTGCTGGCTGTCCGTGTATATAACAGTCTTATTACTATTCGTTACGAATGTATTGCCTTTTGTGCTATTTATGTATGTCGATGTACGTAGCGGTGTCCGCACGATTTCGAAAGAGCCAGTATCAAAATTAAACATCTGTCAATGGTGTTAATAGGGGCAGCATCTGTCCGGCTGTGGATAATGCACATTTTTAGTGAGAGCATGTCTGTCTGCCTGTCTGCCTGCCGTCCTTCCCGAAACTATTCCAAGGTCACTGACCGGTTTAAAAGGCCTAAGATCATGTATAGCCGCAAGTATTCTATATATCCTTAAGAATTCATCTGCGGCTAGGGCATGTAATAAAGCTGTCTGAGTTGCACTATTTCTCAGAGGCGGCGTTTTTCCACAATAGCGGTCAACAGCTTTCCAGCTATGAGTATTTTTGACACTGATGTGTCTCCAGATTGCTGGCCCATTATTATGTATCATGAGGCTATGAGTTCGTGTTTAGATGCGCAGTGCTCCTTTCCCCCGATATTTGGTTGGATGAAAACCGGAAACACCAAGAAAGAAGGTATAATCGTTGTGCTCGTAAATAATGTGGGCAAAAATGTTTGCTTTCTCGACCTGCTCGTATCAACGTAACAGCGACTCTGTAGAGGAGTGAAGATGTACACGCCAAATATTGACCTGTCGACATCTAGTATAGTACTGATTGAATATGGGACGTTATCAAAAGCCATATAATAACGTATCCCGTTGATTTCCATTGTCCTTTCAGGTATTTCGGGTGGCAGTGTGTAAACGACTTCTGAACAGCTCGCGCCGCCTGGCAATGTGGCCTCGCCGACCGATAATAGCTCTAATTACCGCCGTTTCATTTATATTGACTGACTATTTTGCAAGGGGTCAGGTTAGGCATATTCCAGGAAGACTTACTAAAAAAAACTAGATATGCAATTATCTCTAAGATATTCAATATTCCAGTGAAATATAGATGTTGACATTTCACGCGAAGATGAACTATCCGTCGTTTATGTGTGAGAATGCATCAATTAATAAACATTAATATGGTGTTGTTTTTGTTGATAATAGTATGACGAAGCGGAATTTCCTCCAGAAGGATTATATCTGTCACCCGATCAACCGATACAAAATCAGCCAGCAGGTGCGATTTTCGCCGTGTTTTGCAACAAAGGCTCTGGAAATGGACGATACTCTGATTTCAAATGGATTAGTCCTCAGGTCTAGCGTCGTTCAAATGGTTTATACAGCCCTTTATATATACACGATATTGGCAATTAAAGCAGAACTTATGTCACCCATAAACTTATCTTTTTTTGTCTAACGGAATGTCTGTCTCTCCTAATTGTAAATGAGCGTCATATCTGACAGCGTAGTTCTTAAGCTCATTCTGGTTGAGTTTAGTTCGATACTCTGCGGAACTCCGAAACGCCATCAGGCCAGCTAGGCGAAATATATGTGGAGTAAAAAAGCGAAATATCTTACGCTCACTTTCAAAAAATGACTGCCCACAAACTTTCCTAAACACACCCATTTACGAAGCATGAAAATTGATTGAAATTCTCACTTCTGACGTCACCATAGGGTTCCGAAATCACTCGTAATAACACTGCAACGATATACGCGTTTGAATCGGAAAATGGACTGGCACTAAACTTCGACTCACCGACACCTGAAAACTCAGGCCGGTACACGTGCAAGGCCCTTTACGGAGGAACATCTTCGCTGCAAGTGCCTGTGAAAATCAGTTTTTTCCATGACATCACCTTTGACAACTGTCCAACTACCCAAGATCTAGTCCTCGGACGTGATGGTAACGTATCTCGTTGAGCCATCTATGACGAACTTAGTTGAAGCCAAGATTAGGATAAGATAGATGTCGCTGTGCCAGAGGTATTCATCATCGGTATATCGGAACATCGAATTACAAATGCTCACAAAATGATATCATGTATTACACTAGGTCGGGAGCTAAGGATCCGTTTGAAAAAATCAAATTTTTTTGCATCATTCATTTGACTTTTGCGTCAATTTTTTTAATTTAATTATTGTAGCAAAGTTTACGTTGCACCCGTCGAAGCCCGAAGTACTAGCTATTGAGGGAGTTTTATTTATTAGGGAGTTGTACTACCTTTGACCGATTATTGTCTTTTCTTCCAATCTCATTTTTAAGCATTTGTTTTAAAAACAAAACCTTTAAAAGTATTTTTCGTCGAAGCCGTAACTTATTCTTTCTGATCTGGTAGAAGTTTTTTATTTTGATGGAAGAGTCTCATGATAAACGCATTTTTTTTCCTAAGGTTGGTAAGTTCATCTCATTCATGACTTGTGTGTTTGTCACCACAGAGAAGCAAAGTAGGTCATATAATTCAAAAAGGTAGTTCTAGCCAGAGCTGTTGCTGATAAGGCCAATATCCGAAAAATATATACATATAACAGGTTTATGACAAGAGTCTGAAAGCAGCCGGAAAGCAGCTATAGCAGCACGCTTCTTCACTCAGTGTTATTGGCCTTACTGATTTCTGTTTGTATTCGCTTTCTCCAAAAACATATGCAGGTAACATTGAAAAACGTTTATACTTTAAAATGTATTAAAAACACCTGACAATAACATGCTTGACGTGTCAATTAAAATAAATGATCACTCAAAATTAATGCAAATACCTAACGTAAGAGCTTATAATAGGGTCGACTCGCACTTCTAGTACCAACATGGCTGTTCGTGTGAACTCTAAGGGATCCTTCAAAAGAACAGTTTCCCTAAAATGCACACTAGTCAGAGTTATTCAGTTTGCCATTTATCCAGTGAGACTCTCTTAACATAGGTTATAGATGTAATGGTCGAATGGTCCGTCGTGAGACGTTTAACGGTGCCTGAAGCAACCTGTACTACCGAGATCGGAGAAGCGTGTTACCATCTTACATAGGCTATTCTGAAACCGTATTATTGCCACGAAGTCCAGTCCTACACAAAACGGCAGCCAGGCAAACCCTCCCAGGTTTATCCCTCCCAGGTTCATTCGCCCCCAGGATGCAGGTCCAATTCTCTCTAACTTACAAATGTAGTGGTGCACAACGCCTATTCACATTCACCAGCAATGAAATACATAACATATATTTCACTAGAGTTAAAAGCGATGACGTCGGAGAATTGTGATCGTGTTCCGGTCATACCACACAATCTGGCTACGAAGATAAAAAAAGCAAGACGTTGATGGCTATAGTTTGTACATAGTCAGTAAGGTATAACTAGCAACCAGCAGGGAACAGGCACGACAAAAACGTCGTGTAGAAATGACTTTCGGCCAGTAAGTGGTGTTTTCAAAAGAAATTTTGAGTGAATTGTGCACGGTAAATATAAGAAAGGAAAAACGCTTAAATGGCGATGGAAAGCGGAAGGGAGACGATTAAGTGGTATCATTTTTTGAATTCCGACACATCTTATTAAATTTAAAATTCGATATTTAATAAGAATTTAACACTTGTATTTTCTCCCATTTTATTCTGAAAGGTACCGTTCGTTGTCAAGTTCATGGAAATCCTGTGCCGCGCGTACTGTGGGATAACCAGAGAGGTATTCAACTTTCCTCGGAGAGGTTCACTATCGTAGGAAGTAGCCTAAATATTCGCCACGTCATGGCTACCGATGCCGGCCGATATCGAGTAACGGCCATGGTTGAAGCAACGGGAAAAATCAAGAGGGAGTTTATAACCGTCAATGTGATTACCCCACCAAACATCATTGAACTGAAAAACGTAACCGATATTATTGAAGGAAGCTCAGGAATGGCTGTTTGTGCTGCGACTGGGATTCCGCCACCTCTTTGCTACTGGACAGATTTTAAGGGCCGAAACTTATCCGATGTAGGCGGTTTTCGAGTTACACCGCAAAGTTGCATACTGGAGTTTATTCAGACATCAAGAGAATATGAAGGCGTATATACATGTCATGCGGTTAACGCAGGAGGAAAGGCCGTGCGAGACACGCAAGTCGAAGTAATCATCCCATCAAAGATAATTGAGTTTCAGAACAAAACTGTCAACGAGGACGGTGAGGTGGCTCTGGAGTGTCAGGCTGAAGGCAAACCTATACCGGAAGTTCACATTCGCAAAGAACAGGCACTTATTTCTCTAGGCCACAGCAATGACGACGGAGGCGGCGTTATTAGTTTGAAAAACCTAACCACCGGTTATGTAACAACGCTCATCGCAACTATCTTCCCGGTGCGACAAGATCACTCCGGCTTATATTACTGTTCAGCTGAGAACCGTGTGAATCGTGTGGAACGAACCGGTAAACTGGACGTTAATTATGCGCCGCTTTTAACGGCAAAAAAAAACCCTGTATTTACGTGGGGCAGTCGGCCGGCAATGCTGACGTGCCATATTCAGGCTATTCCAAACGCCACCGTTCAATGGAAGGATTTGCATGGAAATTTGCTCAACGATAAAATGCTATACTCAGTGGATAACAGCGTTGGCATGTCTGTGCTCACCGTCACCGACCAAGCTCCTCGTTTTAGCCAAGACTTTGTGTGTGTAGCATTAAACAATCTTGGAGAACGTAGTTTAGTTTTCACAATTCGCGAAGCCCGCCGACCAAACGCGCCAAGCCAACCAAAAGTCCTCCGAGTGACTGCGACAACCGTTACGTTCGAATTTAATCGGCTTGTGGATAACGGCGGCATGCCTATCCTTCAGTACTTGACTAAGTACTGGCGTGAGGGCCAAAGTCTAAATGAAGCCAAGATCGAGCAATTCGCTGAGATGATTGGCGAACCTCGGAAGATCACTCAACTTATTCCACGCACAAAATATTTCTTCACGTTCAGCGCTCGTTCCGAAGTCGGCGAAGGACCACATTCCGAGCCGCTGCAGATTGATACAACGGTCGAAGCAGTCCCTGACCCACCGATATTTATTAGTCCTCCCCATGCGGACGTGCACCCCAGTCGTGTGCATATCGAATGGACTATGCCCCTTAGTAACGGGAAACCGATAGACCACTTTCTTGTGTCCTACCAACTCGTGGAGCAGGTTTCCGCGACTGAATTTAGAGACACAGGACGAAGACGAAGTGAACATGTAACCTCATGGGCAAGTATGGTTTCAAAGGACCTTCTTGATCTCCGGCCAGAAATGTTCTACCGGGTCCGGGTCGAGGCACATAACGAGCTGGGTTACGGAGAGCCAGCCGAGTTGGTATTCCGCACAGGTCCAGCGCCAGGAATGATCGGGCCCTATCCTAACAACGGTGATAATGGCGCTAGAAACGTCACACATATCATTAGTACACCTGTGATTATTGCACTTGCAGTACTGTTAACATTCATCTTGCTCATCCTATTCGACGTACTTTGCTACTTCCAATTCCGCAAAGGGCTTCTGTACGCACTTCGACACCTCGTCTGCTCCAAACCTAGACATATTTATAGCAAGACCAACCAAAATCCGCTTTCGTAGATATAAGGTGCTGACAATCAAACCCTCACAGAGCATCTTCCACAACACGTACATGGCGGCGGTAACACAGTTAATACTACACGGCTAACTTCAAGAGAACGTAGAAGCATGCCTCCCCCCAAGAAACCGCCGAGGCAAATATCGGATTTGCTTATCAGTCTCTGACTCAGAAATCATGAAGAGGCTAATAAAAAGCAGAAGAATTTATAATCCGAGTGATTCTGGAACGAATCGCAAAACCTTGTTAACTATCACCAAATATCACTGTTGCTGCAGCAGTTACAGAACTTACGCCAAAAATGTATCATACTTCCTCACTAATGAAGGTAATAGCTGCAGCTATAATGTAAATGTTTATATTATACACTGATGATAATGATGCGGGTGTTTTCAAAGGTTGTGAATGATAGTTAGAATGAGTATTGTGCAGAGAGCTGTGATGGTTTCGTCTAAGACTTACAAATTACATAAGATCAAGTTAAAATTTAATTTAATTTTTTTTTATTTAAACTTATTAAAAGGATTTTATACGATATTATTCGACCATTGGATTTCCAAGGCTGCTACATTATATGCATGTGCCGTCAACGGAGATAAACTCTAAATGAGAGCTCTGATTAATACGTATTTAGGTTCCGGTGGGGTCTTGGCGTGAAGGTCTGTCCTCGTGCTTCCGCTATGATACTGTAGCACCGCACGTGTTCTTTAGTGCAAGGGCGTTTACGAACTATCCGCTAAGAAAGGTCTTAATGAGCTCAGGCAAGCAAATATTATTGCTTACGCTTGCCAAGTGAAAACTGTTCAGAAGGTTGCTGAAGACTGTATGAAAATGTATGTATAATGTCTTGATTTAATGAATGACTGAGTGAAGAATCACCATTTTGCTGGAGTTTCATGAACAAATCTTCTCTATATTCAAAGCTGTATTGATTTCCTTCATGTACGGCTGTTCGATAGCGTATTCTTCATAGTAATGCTACATAGCTATAAATGTTGATTACCTGTTGTATTCGACACGTATTATTTGAAGACCAAAAAACTAAGAAACATATAAACAAACGCTAAAGTAGCCTTCCAAGCCATAAAGGAAGACAATGGTTATAACACTAGGCGCATAAAACAGCAACATACAGTGTTGCTCTGATACTATCTGTTTTGAAATGTGTGCCACTACAAAACCGCTAACCGCTTTCAAGTGGCCATATTTTCTGTGCATCAAACAGCCTCTATACCAAGGTCACGTGGCTAAAAAACGTGTTCTTAGAGTGCTTGTATAGTCTGAAGTATTTTTGGAAAAGAATCATCCTCAAAGGTAGACTATTTTATGTAACATAGCAATTTTCAGTGCACACGAAAACCTGCCAAAATGAAGTATAGTACTTAAATAGTTAAATGGGAAAATGAAACAGAAGCTAAACGAAGCTCGAGTACGTGATATGCCAATCTGTTACGCAACGAAGGACCATTAGTATTTTGTAGTCGTTGTATAATTTATTAAGTTCTTCTATGATAAGGTACCGACACACCAACGCTATTACATTCAGTAACAGTGGGAGACAATGCGTGTGAGATAGCATGCCGATTGCTAGCATACTGTATAATAATTATATGACTATAATAACAGAATAAAAAAAAATATGTCCAGATAGAAAATGTCTTAATTTATTAAGGTAGTAGCTACAGCTATGCAAAAAATTAGTGAAAGCGAATTAATTGTATTTACTGAACAGACACAGACGATCGTGTTCCGCCATTTTGGCATGGGTGTCTAACCTAACTAAATATGGTCGAGTCATTTTTTATTTTCTTTGTTGGCGAGGCTTTAAGCCACCTTAGCAATCGTACAATCAATTGCATGTTGCACTGTGGAGTAACGAAATTTTAATGCTATTATCCTAGGCTTCCCAGAAGTCAAAAATGGAAGTAATTACGAATTGCAGACACAGAAGGATTCAATGGGGATGAATATTCTGCTATTTTATTAACATTCATTCGTTGCATTTACTGGAGTTCAGCACATTCTTGCGTAACCCTCTTACGTCTTTATCTACGAAATATCAGACCTGTAAAGTATATAAAAAAAAATCAGTTTTATCTTTTTATAGTTTCTGATCTCGCCGCTTCTTGTGGAGTTTTCAAAATCATAGTACTTGCTACTTGCCTACGATAAAGTAAGGGAAGAACTGCACCGTAGACCGTAAAAGGTGAGTATCGCACAGAATTAACATGTTGTTATCAATTACAGTCATTTTCTATTGTATAAATAATCATATTTATGATGGCACGTACATTTTTAATTGCTTGATAACTTCAACGTTTTACTGCGATTGGTCATGTTTCCCGCTGCGGCCTTTCGCAAGGCTAACAGGATACTTTTCCGCGTTTTTTTTCAACTTCCGTAGAGCTTCCATTGGTAAGTCCACTTCACAGCGTTCGGCTAATCTGTAGAGTGAAAAGCACACATAGCGGGTTTTGTGAGTTGGAAAGCCGGATGAAAACAAAACTTCTTTTCTTGGCCGATGTATGAAATATATCGACGTTGTCACGTCATGAATACTGGCATACAGTTTTCGAAAGGCGCCTCAGCATTACGAGTACTTGATACTTCAACACACAGAATTTCACATTGTTTAACTTTGGGACTGCAAGGCGGAATTGGAAAGTGGTTTACAGTATTAGAAATGGTTCGCCAAGGTAGTTTAATTCTAGTAAATTGACAGAGTGATTATTAACAGGCCTGTTCGTCCTTTCAAGAGTGTTAAATGATATTTCGACCACTGAAGTGCGCGGGCTCAGCAACGATTTAGCGGTATTCCGTAGTAACCAGATGTACGTTTCCTTAGTTTTATAGCAATATTAAATAAAGAAATAAAAGGTACATATAATCGCTTAAAGCCGTTACTGTATGATAGCAAACCGCACCTGGTTTTCACAATTATTTTTCCTGCTTGCTGCAGTCCGTTGTTGAAATCACCTTTATAGAAGATTTATATGTAGAAGATCAGTGTGCAAACATATGTAACTACTGACTTAGGTTACCTTTTGCTTCCGAGTCTTTGTCTAGGCTTTGTTTTTTTGGCTTACTGGTATCCGTTTTTGGCAAGAGGATGCTTACAGGAAACAGAGAGGTAAGCAAGCATGTCTCCTTCTTTAGCTGGTAGACGGTGTCCTCATTCCGACTCCGTTGCTGGACAGCAGTATTGTGATGACATCCATGAGCATTGTCCTATGCGTCATAACCTGCTTCACAATTTGGTGGTGCTAATCCGTGTAGAATTATTGTTGTCCAACCATCAAATTCTACCACAACTGCGACAAATCGCTTTGAGTAAGTATTTGTCAGCTGATAGTCCGATCATGGTGATCATTACCAGCAACATTGTTACTGTTATTACTACAGGAGACGTAACGCACAGCAACAGACATCGTACGAGCCAGGGGTAGCTTTTATGGAAATTTTGGCAAATTTGTTTTAGTGGCCAAATGGAATCTTCTTTTATAAATGGAGGTGTACGTATAGGATACTCCTGATGTCACCCACCGAGAATTTCTATAGAGGTCCTTCACAAATGCACCCAGGTATACAAATCAAAAAAAGAATTACATAAAATTGGTCAACGAGGCTTACCCTACCTACTATTCCACTATATGTTTATGGTCGCCAGTCAGGTCTGTCTGTTTGATAATGGGGCGCATTTTTTTATTTTTCGTGTTCTTATGGGACACAGACTTGCTAAGATGTGCTAAGGTTGTAGAAACTGGGTTTGTCTACATGTTCGTATGTTTTATATGTCCTACATGTTCTTTTTTGAACTCATAGATGTTTCTTTTTTCCACAAAGGGGCCCATATTGGGGGGTCGATCAAGGTGTCTATTGAAAGCTTACGACAAGCTGAGTGCCAGTAACCCTTGTGCTCTCATGCCTGAACCGATGTTTTCACACTCAAATGTGGGAAAAGGACACGGCGGCAGCACTTCTCTATCGGTTATGATAGCATTCGGAAACTCATCGCCACTCTCGCTCTCATGACACAGTTAAATAACATTATCATGTACGACAATGCTCGTGGCAGCCATGATAATGTCGGTTAAGTGTGCAATGACGACGATAGCGGCGGCCTTTGACGTCTTTCAGTGAAATTCGGTTCACTAATCAGCACACAATTGATTACTGTGTAGCATCAATCAAACAGGGTCCTACACACGTTGTTTAAGGTACGTGGTTAGTATCCAATCCCTATGATGATAATCATTGTTACTGCAAAAAAGACGACACGCAGTGGTGACGCCATTAACAGGCGTCGGGTTATGCCGGCCCAGATAGGCTAGCTTTTTGTGACAACTTAATTTCCGAATTAGTTCTCCTGACTAAATGGCAGCTCCTTGCTTAGATGGAAAGTTTCACATAAGCAATGGTTGGCGGCATTTTCGTAGATACCGTATCAGCATATTGTATATACAAAGGGCTTATGCAAATGTCCACAGGTGTACAAGTGAAACAAAAACACACAATTTAGACTTGTCTCTTTTTTCAGATCAACCCTACTACTGCACAAATTTTTTCCAATAATTCTAATTTCACATTATTTCAATTTCATGTAAACACTAAAGGAGCCATCCTAAGACCTGGGTGTATAGAACTTATTTCCCGCATTTATCACGCAAAGAAGCATTCGACGGGAAACTTCTGAAATTATCGTTTCTTGGAACAACTATCGTGTTCGCAAATTATTAATGTGAACTCGTTTCGTATATGTTAAATTTTTTCAAAGTATTACCGTTTTCTAAATCTTGATGCGCTCTTTTTCTTTCACGTCCATATCACTTATAGATATTTTGACTTTAAGCAAAAAATGGTGACACTGTTTCCTTTAAAATCGAGATCTGTCGATTAATTTAAAAAAGTTAGTCATTTCATTCATAAAAATACTCACCTATCCCGAAGTGTACTAAGTTCAGGATCTTCATTATGGCTTGCTTTAAATGTAGATCTCACGTTTAACCAAAAAGGTATATATCAATGTTTATCTGTTTTATTTATTTAAAGATACCTTTTTCATAGACAAACTGCTTCCTAAAAAATCACCTTGCTAGTCATTTACATGTCGCATGAAAATGCTATAATGATTAAATAAAAACGGTTGTATCGCGTTCTTGAACTTAGAAGAAATCGAGTCGAATTAATGCATATATATATATATATATATATATATATATATATATATATATATAGGTTATCCCAAAAGACACGTACATTGTCTTTTTTTTACCGAACCATTATTTTTGACAGTGCAATGACTGGTGCATTAGTTGTATTTATTGTAAGAATCCAAATTACCGCGGAAGCCCTTAATAAAGATGATGAGTTTCAGTTTTAACACCTTTTTTTTTTTTTTTTACTATCATGATCATATATAAACATATTTTGACAAGAATTTTCCAAACAGATGGGTTGGACTGAGGGGCTTTTTCGGAGTACCCTGCTTATGCCCTTGATCTGACCTCAGTCGTTTTTTCTTACTGGTACACCTTAAAAGTAAAGCCTATGCTAGAAAACTGGTGACACTGGAAGGTTTACAAGTCGCTGTGAATTTGTAAATCAATAATACATTCTTATGAGTAGTGAGTTAAATGGGTATATATACATCTTCAGTGTTGGGCGTTCACATTGAAATTGTTGTGCCTCGTTTCAAACACTGTATCGAAACAGAACCAGATACTTCAACAAAATGTCTTTGCCTGTGCTATTTCTCTTTCCTGATTATCATGCTTGTATAATCTAGCCATCATTCGCCACCATTGCAGCTTCAATTTGACACCTAAACCAAATATTTTGAGATATCCGGTACCGCCTTTGGACGTTCAATCGGATGGCTGGTTCTTAGCACGAAACTAAGTGTATCTACGCCCCGATGTGAACCTTCACCGCCCACTTATTCCTAATGTTAGCAGGCAAATACCAATTTAGGATTCAAGACACTACTAATATAAATATTCCTTCTTTAATCTGCAAATAATTTTTCAGTTCTAACTGCGCATCGATACTGGTAGCTGTAAAGTAATTAATGTATATATGCCCGAATATGTCACATAGGAAATGTCTCCAGCGGAATCAAATTATGTCAACAGACAAGGTACCAACAATGCATAGGCTTAAAATGATTAAAAAATTAAGAGGGCACAAACAGTACTGAAAATATTGAACTTTGGAGCTTACGTAGACGAATTATTTGGCAATTGATATGCTTAAAGTGCCGTTAAATTTCGTGTGAAAAAGCCCAAGTGTATCAGTAATGGCTTTCCGAGCCATCCTGGTTTTCAGCACTTTAAATTTAGTTTTTATTGAGGATGTTCCAGTTTGTTTCATGGGTGTTTTTTTTTTTGGGTTTTTGGGAACCTGCACGAAAACTGGCAATAGCGTAGATTATCTATCTCGGGCAAGATAAAAATCAACTTTAATGGGGATTTTTCCAGCGTGAAGAAAAATTAAATGATAGCTGATGTTTGCTCAAATTCCAGAAATGATACGCCACGATGAGCGTGTTATCTTGTTCTAGAAAGAACTGACCTCTTGCTTACCAGCGGATAAACGCATGCTCGTTACGACAAACGGCCCGCCAGAGTTCGTCCCAATTTGAACGCACCGTCCTATATATATATATTAGGTTGTTGAAAAAGTACTAAACATTTTATAACGCCGTGGGTAAGATGAGTTGCTACTCGACGTTACAATAATTTGAAGGATCAGATTTGGAAATAGCAAATGTTGGAATGTCGTCATTCAAGCTCGCGACAGAGCGGCTTGAAGATAAATGAAATTTCTACAAAAATTCACTATATTTACAATTTTTTTGTGAGAAAGACACAAATTCTGCCCAGGTTCTTAAAAAATTGTGCTGTTCATGGTCAAGATGCGTTATCGGAAACAAAAAACGACTCAAAAATTGTCTTGCCGTTTTCGTTCTGTAAACTTCAATATAGTAGACACTTCTCATAGAAATCGATCAAACACGAAAAAACTTGATAAAATAATTGCGAAAGTTGAGCTTACATGAGTAGCTATGATGTCTCCAAAGAACTAAACGTTCACAACTAAAAAGCTCCAAGCCATTTGAAGGAAGCTGGCAACGAGAAAAGCTCGATGTTTGGGTATCACACGAATTGATGCAAAAGAATTTACTCGATCGTATTTCGATTTGAGAAACTTTACAGAAATGCGATGAATTGAGCTATCTATAGAGCCTACGCATAATGAAAAAAAGGATTAAATGCGACAGTAATGTACAAAAAGAAGGAATTGGTTTTGTTTTGTGGAATTGGAAAGGAATCGTTCATTATGAGCAACTGTCGCTTAACAGAGCAACTGATTTGGACCTAGCAAGATGACCACAAGTCATTGAGAAAAATCAACCGGAACTATCGGATAAAGATGGCATCAATTTGCATAAGTGTCGGACCGTACACATCTTTAGCTACTTGACAATTGAATAAGTGAGGGAACTTAAGTGGGAAATTTCAATGCATCCGCCGTATAGCACCATCAGATAGAAACGTATCATCTGTTTCGATCTCTGGAAAACTCCATTAATAACGTTAATTCAGATTCAATAGAGAAATGTAAAATGGACTATTTGCAATTTTTCGCGCAGTAACCATAAAGTTCTGCAGTGACAGGGCTATGGTGTTACCAAAAAATGATCAGAAATTATCGATTAAAATGGAGCACATTTAGTCCAGTAGTACTATTTTGAAATATACAAATATTTGGTTCAATTTCGACCTAAACACGGTCTATAGTTTTTTTTATCATAGTTTTATACCAATTTTACAATAAATCAACAGTGTACGACGCCTCAAATTATGAATGCAAATGAAGCAACAAAAAACAGTGTAAACTCGAAGAGTTAATGGACGTGGTCTAAAAACATCTTCTGTTTGATAATAGTATTAGTGAAAATAATGCAAGTGTGGCTACCGTATTCCTGATAATTCGCGAGGACCATCCACGTATTTCACATGTCAATAAATTACAGAAATAGTCTTTGAGGCGTATAAAACTTGAGATTCACTCAACGTTGTTTACTCATCAATTTTTTCAAAAAAAAAGCAGCAGGTGGACATTGATTCTTCTTTACCGAGAAAACGTTTATTAACTACCGCAAGGACGACCGCCTGCCTGTTCAGGTTCTAGAAGAAAAGTCAGCAAAACTCAATTTTTGGCCGATGCTCATGTTCTGAACGTACTGTTGTGTAAAAAAGATGCTGTGCGGCCAATTTTTTTTCGGAAAGAACAAACCACAAATAAAGACGTGTACATGGAGTGTGTTTTACATACACTTATGCGACTATGAATAACTAAAGTATTTTATATGGAACCATATGACTTCCACGCTCTGGTCCATACTAGCCAATTTATGCAGGACTGATTGCTTGAGAGTTCAAACAGGTTCTGGAATAAGCATATATGGCCACAGAGTAGCCTAAGTTTGAGCTCCCGGGATTACTGTCTAGCAAGTCTCAGCTTAATAACATTGACTAGCTCATGCATGCTATCAAGAAAGCACTGTTCGCATAATTTCGAACATTGCCAACATGAAACGAGCCCTTGGACGGTGTAGGCCTTCATTCAAGCTGTAGTTGAGGTAAACGGAGGTTACATTGAAGAGGTGTAACTCATGCAAAAAAAGCTGAAATAGTTGCTCTTATTTAAATACAACCTTTGCGAATCGTATCACCTGATCAGATAAAGAAGGACATCGCTAAGTTCTTCACCCAGGTGCGTTTTCTCATCGGAGCTCAGTTCAGGCACGCCTTTAGAGATTTCGCCCTTCCATTGGCTGAAAATGATTAGAGAAAAGTCATGATTCATTTCCACATCTACGCAAGAAATTAGAAGTTATTACTAGAGCAGTTTATGGCCATATGGAAATGGTGTAAAATGGTACCATTTCCAGGAAGCCTGTATTCGGTGTGTTACCCTAACACAGAGCCAATAAAGCTTCAACTCGTAGAGAATTATCTTTAGATTTTAGAGAGTGACTGTGGCAAGTCTGCAATTGTAGATTACAACATCATCAGATTTATCAAACTATTTTTTTGTTATATTCAAACATCGGTTCAAATTTTTATAATTCTAGGAACGGTAATCAACTAAGCTCAAGAAAAGGTTACATGCCTAACGCTAGGAGGCGTAAGCTATCTTGAAAAATGGGTCAAAAAATGCCTTTCCTTTGTATAACTAGCACTACATACTGCATATATACCCCACGTACAATATTTCAGCGAGTTCGCCAATTTCGCCAACTAAAGCTAACATTAAGTTCCTTGGAGTGTGATATTGGTCCCAATCACGGTCTAAGCAGAACTCGTTCTGGGCCTGACGGCTGAAAAGGAATAGAAGCTCATTGAATCAAAACTGAATTAAAAACCTAACTCTTTTATAAAAAACATGTACGGTTCAATGGCAACTCGGGTATACTAGGACAACATGGATCATACCTTAATTAGTGCCCTTCTGCTAGTCATATCTCAGTGTTCGAGTGCTTATAAAGGACGTCGGTTAAATGTATTGACCATGAAAGTTTGGATGAATATTCAATACACTGAACTACTGGAATGAATCCAGACTGACAACGGAGTCAAATACGTATCAAAAACACTGGCAACATAGAAGGCCGGTTTTCATCTAGCAAGACGCAGCGTTTCAATTAAACTCTAGTAAAAATATATACGTCGTATTTGATATTACTTTCCATGACCTGCTCCCTTCTCTCAATCAACATAATTATTTGTTTCTGCCAGGAATTTTAAAGTTTGATGTTAAAAAATTCGATTTTAGTCAAAAAATGATCGGAGAAAATGATAACCCGTCTGAAGAATATGGTGGGTGCAGTGAAACTTTTTAACTAAAGTTTTGAAGGGCGGCTTTTACAATGTTTGCCATATACAGCCTGGCATTGTCGTAAAGAAAATAATTTTACCTTATCTATTTAACTTATATTTTTTTGTAGAGTAAACTCGTTCAATTAATGCGACTGATTCATATATATACAGATCCTTGTTGGCCTTCCTATTTTTTAAGTGTTTTCCAGCGTATAAGGCCTTGCAGGTTCCACCAATCCAAATCATCGCTTTTTTGGGATAGAGATTCTTTGTAGAAATCTGCTATTTTGGCTGCGTACTGCTCGAAGTCGGAAGATATGTTGAGAAGCTGTGTTTCTGTGTGCTGTTCACCCAGTTTATAGGGCAACCGGGCTCTTAATTTTTTAGCAAACCTCATATATCTGAAGTCCTTGTCCATAGTCATATTAGTGCAGTTGATCCTTTCAATTCACGACTTCTTCTGCCTTCAGAAGTGGTTTTACGACAGTCTTCATAATAAAGTATTAGGTCGCATAGGTCTCAGACAACCGACCTAATTTTTTACACTCGTTGAACGACATATTTAGAAGTACCCAAACAATGTAGAAGTACAAAGATTACAAAAATGGCCCTTACTTGTGTTACAATCTAATACATTTAGTATGCTGCTTTGAAGAGGTGAACGCTCGACATGCCAGCACGTTTAACGGTAGTACCATCATCAAGCGTGGCTGGTGCCACTCGACATAACAATCTATCTATTGAAGGCGAGTGCTTATGTGTTTATTTGTCTGTCTTAAATCGACCCTTTAGAGTGATCGGATTGAGCTGATTTTTTTTTTCGAATTGCTAAAGTTTTATGCTAGGAAGAGTTGAGATTAGATAAGTAATTTGTTTCCTTAAAAGACGAATTTAATTTTTGTCGATGGAGCGTGATGCCAAACCCGTTGACAAATAGATGGCAATAACCTTTTTTCATACTCGACGTTTGAAAACAACGTCGTAGCCCCATTCAGAAACCTCGCGAAGACCACCAGCATCTTTCGCGCTGATCAAATGCACAAATGTATATTTCTGAGAAACGTGTGTTGCGTAACCAAGTGCGCTCAATGTGTAATAAGCTGCATATATATATTGTACTGCAGAGAGGATTGTGGGGTCTTGTGTTAATAAAAATTGTATCCGATGACTGGCGGTTATTTGATGTTATTCCTATAGATAATTATAGTTAGTTTCTTACCTCATATAAAAAAATAAAATGCGTCTGGAGAGGACCCTCGAGTTTTGCTCTAATGATATATATATTTAGATGTAATGTATATTAGGGACATAATATCGGTTTGTTGCCTTCGGCCTTTACCTCTATGCTGTTTCTGTACGTTTATTTAGTATTTAATAGCACATTCTTCTCCAAGTGAAGGGTAAAAAGCTCAAATATGAGATTATGAAAACTTAAGGTTTATTATTTTGTAGGGTTTGCCCGAGTTCAATGTCGACCTTCATGAGAAATATTATTCGGAATAACTAGTATATCTGTAATAACACGGAAAATTATAACATTAACGTTTGTGTTCCAATGCAAAAACTCCTGAAGTATAAAGTGTAATGACATTCGTGAGCTCTTTGTACGTGCCATATACGATAAAGGCTTACTGGCCTGTTCCACCAGCAGTTATTTCATTTAGTCTGTCTGTATAGATTATATATGTACGGTGTATATGCTATAATAGTGTAATAAAAACATTAGTTTTTTATTTTTGAAAGAAAGTTTTAATATCTAGTTAATATCGACTAAGTCTGACCATTTTAGCTAAACTATGTTGATATACTCACACGAAGTCGAAAGAGATATCCGAAAACGCGAACTCTCTGTCTGACGAAACTGCGTTTCTTTTATCGGTAGGGTAATTCATCATTAGATCTCCGAAATGAGTAATTAATAAACGCCTGAATTAATCACAGGTAACGATTGCATTATTATTGACTGTATTGATGAAGGACAAACTAGAGGGCGGGAGTAGCAAATCGAAAAGCAAGATAGTCTAAAAGAAACGTATGTACGCCACGGTGCCTAGAAAATGTGTCCAACATGTTATAATTTTTAGATTACAGTTTTTGTTCTTTTTAAGATGTAATTATTTAGAGAAAAATTAGCGAACTCGGACTAGCTTTTGAATGAACAAAATTTATTTTAAAATGCTATTAAAAGTATGAAAATGTAGCATACAAATACAATATCGTAGAAGGTTTCAAGCAAATCTACCTATGTGAATTATAGTTAATCAGATAAGTAATAAGTCTAAAACGGACGCAACTGTTTAGGGTATTCGTAAATATTATTCCCGAAGACTCAGAAGATTTTCGCAAGCTTTAGCAGCCAAGAAAATATATTAAAGAGCTGTAGGGAAACATCCCTACAGATCTCTAATGTATCTTAGAAAAGACAATGGTAGGGGTACCAATAAAGGTCACCCGGACTGAAGAAAACTTTTGCAAATGGTGTTTGAATGCATACAAGATGCACAGAATTCGGGAAAGAAAATTTGAAGAAGTTAAACTACATTTAAATGTTAGGATATAATTCATTACCACTATTGTTCTTGCAATGTTCCTGTAAATCTAGATGCTACGTAAAAACATCATGTAAATTTATCTGGGCTTAGTGTGGTGTGGCATTTTAAGTAACAGAATAATTGGACAATTATTTCTCAACAGTGTACTGACGGATGCAGATTAGTTAAATTTACTGCAAAAATCTGATTTAGCCCCCATTCAAAAGAGACTTGCTAAAAAACGAAACCCAACGGAAATGAACGATTCAAATATTAATGATATGTTAATAAAAATTCAAACTATAGTTATTCAAATGGTATATAGATCTTCGGACACCCTATATATGACAAAGATCTTACAAAAAGAAGGTAAGCTTGCGTTTTCACAAGCTTTTCACACCTCGGGGATATCTATCTTTAGGCGCGATAGCACCGAGCGCTACGTATTCAGGTTGAGTAATTGATTGACGACACCCTTAAACTTATCATACTCACCTGTGATAAATATTTGTCGATACTAGATAAGTGAAACCAATTACAACAAGTACAATTATGTTGAATCAGCATGGAATGGATCAACCCGAACTAAATATGATAGGCGAATGGCGCGAAAAACTGTATTATTTTGGTTTCGTTTTGGCGTTCTGCTCAAACGATTGGTGCTTTCAACATACGGTCTACATAGCAATGATTCAACTTTCTTCGGTCCAGTGAACTGTAGCTGAAAGTATTGTGGTGATACAACCAATCACATATTAGTTTCAACTATATTAAGTACTCAAGAACAATAAATGTATGTCTTATTAATGTTTCTTCCGATATAATGCATTAAATATGTGTATATATATAACGGGGAATAAACAGAGAGGGAAAATAGTGACTTTGTGTAATCAAGATACGGAGCTTGAGTTGTGCCTAAATAAACGGCGCATGAACATTCTCTTTACGACACCTTCAAGTTCTAAGGACCCGGCGTCGTCTTCGGCGAAAGTTGCTGTCACTTTTTAGTTGTTGTGGTAGCAGCTGTCAGCGCTTTCTGCTCTTTCTCGTTAACGTGCCGCTGACTTGATCGTCCTCTGATTCTTAGCCTAGTGCTCTCAAGTAGATGAAGAAATGAACGTATTCGATTAGCCTATTACCGAGCCGGAGCGAGCCACTTACAGCATGCGGCCTGCCGCAGTGGAACTTCATTTTCTCTCTTGACAACAGCGGGGCTTGATGGAGGTTATATCGGCCTAGAGATAGTAATACGAGGTCGTTGATGTACAATAAAAGGAGTTTTTTGTGGGCAGTATTTTTTTATCTGCCTTAGCAGATTTTTAATGGCTATTGAGAAATAGCTCTCCTTAGCGTTGCTTAAAGGGACCAAGCTGCGACGACATTATTATCTATAACGAGTTAATACATTTTAAATATGTTTGCAAGTAACTTGTAAGCCGTAATTTATGGCACCTTGAGAAAAGTTGGCTGAAAAATGCGGCTTGTTTCGTGGCTGGATTAAGGCACGTCAACAAACATTGAATAAGGATGACTCTGAGGAAGTTTCTACTAGAGACACGCAGGCTACTCGTGCGGGTTTCACGTTTAGAGACATCTATGTTTGGAATCTTCCGTCCTGTATTTCCGTTAGGCATTCCATCAAACGGACAGCTGGCTCCTAACACGAAGCGAACCGTGCGTTTATGTTATTTTACACGGACATTCTCTGCTAGTGCTCTCTTCTTTTCGTTCTCCATCTCAATGAACTACCTTTTCTTCACACCTCCTCTTGTGTATTTTCTAATTGCTCCGCTTCGCTGTTGTCCATCTTATTCATTACCCCAACCAATCCCTCCGAAACGTTTTTTCCTCCCCTTATAATCTAGTAGGGAATGTAGGTGTTTAGTGAACAGAAGTGAAATAATATTAATGAATGCTTACACTGCTAAACACGCCTAGCAAAGGATAAAGTTGAAACTTCTGTGTTGGTTTAGACCTCTGAATACCCCGCCAAACGTCCTCGTAATAACTTAGTGTATAACGTATTTGCCTGCTGACCTTAGGGACACGTTGTGGTCTTCGGACCCGGACGTAAATACACGGTTCGCCCAATAAAACCCGCCATAGATCGATGCCGTCCACATACGGAGCTCTGACAGTCTATATGCTCCAATCAGGTCGTCAGTGGAGCAGTTTCATGTGAGCACGGCTGCCATGTTATTGACTGTTTACTAAAACTTGGTAAAAATCAATCTTGTATCTTTTGAGGCTGTTAAAACCTCAGGATTTATTCGATGTCGTGTGCTGGAACGCGAAAGCACCAATAATACCTGTGCTTTATAATAAACTTCTATGCCACTGTATTTATATGAAGTATTTGAAGAAAAGCAATACTTCTTAGAACAAGATGGCGCACGGTTCACACCAGCCGGTTAGTGCACAATTGACTATTTGAGAATCTAAGCACGTTCTGAAACAGGCACATATGCTCGCCAAATAGCCTAGATTTTGACCCTCTGAATTACTACGTAAGGCGTTAGTTACGTAGCGTTATTGAGCAAGAGTCCAACGAGTCACGTGCTAACACAACTATGCCAAACAATTATTGCTTTAAGACTGTGATAAATATAAATTCCAGATTAAAAATATCATTAAAGCAAAAGAAAGGGGCTTGTATAAAATAGACGCCTAACCGGGCTGTTCACTTCGCGGCCCTTCAGGAAGGCGTCGCCATCCTGAAGGGCCGTGAGGACGTAAGTCTTCAAGATTCCCTTTTCTCATCCTATTCACCACCTTCTCAAGCCATTTTTACTATTGAGACTGACATTTTTAGGACATGCAAAGAATGTCGTTGAAATATCAGTGTTTGTTTAGGTATTATTTTAAAAGCGAATAACAAAAAAATACCGTGTTTGAACGGATCATTCTGTATTATTGGGTTTAGCTTAGTGATTTGCTAATAATGAAACTGCTGTCAACTTGCATTACTAGAGTGGTACGTCTTGAACCATGTCACTTTTCATATCTAACTATTCGCCATCGCTCTCCATGATCTTCTTCCATTTCTCAACGAATTTATAGCTTCTTGGCAAAAATGTTTGGTCTGCTAGTTTTTTGGGACATTTTTCACTATTAAACGTGCGGTTAGGAATTTCTTACGTTCATGATTAGAACGCCAGTGGTAATCCGTCGTTGCAAGGTCTGGAGAATACGTAAACGCAAAACTTTCTATTTAAGGCCTGCAGGGCAGCCTTAGCGCCCGATGTGTGGCACGGTTTGTCGTGAAGGCAGACCCCGCTACAAGTCTATGTGTGTATATATATATATTCGTTCAACTTCGAGCAACTTCGGGCCGATTCGTACAACGAAGCGGCCCGAAGTGACTAGCTCACGTTTAGTGTCGATCTTTGTCATCGTCTGTTTCGAATAGGCTCAAACTATGAAGTTCATCTAATCTACCGCTTTTGTTGACGCTCAATAAATTGATCAGTGAAGTAATGGGTCGACCAGCAAATGCAATTATGAAGCTACGAAAACTCGACAAATTAGTTCCCGGCTTCCGGGTTATTTTCGGGTCGATTCGAGTGGCGAATCGCTGAACGTAAGTAAGATCGTGCAAAAATAACTCAGGCTATATTAAACCTTGATAATAAGTCTCTAATTCTTTCTAAAAATAGTATGAATCATCTGTTGTAAGATAAGGTAAAGGAAATAATTCTCTGTAATCAGCTGAGCTATAGAACTACAGCAAATTAGATATTCAGTTGTGTATCGTAATTTTAACTAAGCCAGCACGAGAAAATGGGGTCTAATTCGATAGCATTTTTATTGTATATATATATATATATACACACAGCTCTACGAAAACTGGAAACCTTCATTTCAAATATATATAAAAATCGGATAGAGTTTCGTGTTTTATGCTCTCGATCCAGGTAGGAATACGTGATGTGTGGCAGTTGGATCGAAGGACGCGGGTGTTGTGGAATTAGACCCCACAGCACCGCAGTCAAAAAAACGTACAATATATGTTGCTCATGCGTCGACATGTTACCGACTTTTATCCTCTAATATCGACTCCAACTTTATTAAACATTAGCTTGTTGAAACTAGTTGAGACCTAATTGTACAATGAAGCCCAACACACAAACTGCAACGTTGCTTTTATCTAGCAATCTAAAATTTTCGGTATATTATAAAGATTAACAACGCTGATTGGACGTATCCAGAACATACGTGTATCATGAGAGACAACAAGCGTTCAGGTACGCTGTGTTGTTTTATAGGCTCTTCATTCACGTGGTCATTGTTAGAGAAATCATACTATCTATCACTAGCCATCAAGCATAGCTAAATGGAGTATGTCTTACGTGCCCGTACCGAAAATAAAATTCGTAAATTTTAGCATCACTTTCCACGACAATGGGTAATTTAATTCAAAACTATATGATAAATAATCTCGGTTTGTAGATCGCGGAAGATAATAGGAAAATGTTAGTTGGTGATAATTTCCCTTCAGATTCCTTTTTCCGCCTTATGTAGATGCATATGGCGTTTCCAAGAGAACAGAAACAATGCTGTCGCTTTCCGACCTCTATATACATCTGACAGCCACCTCCATGATTACTTTCTACCCGGCTACTGACGTTGTGTGAATAATACACACATTTCTAGAGCATAACTAATATTTAAAACAGGTATAAATAATTTGCCTCCGTTAAAAAGAATTTTTTTTAAACTTTACTCATCCTTGTTTGTTGGTGGATAAAATAAACAACGTTTAAAACCATACTACACGTGATTTTGTGGTTACGCTGAGATAAGCAAATACGCGGATAAGCCCATTTGAACTGGGTTGACTTTTTTCCTCCCTGCGTTCATTTATTAGTAGTTGTTGATTTGGCTTTGTCAAGAACTCTTGCTAGTAGCAGTTTGATCGTGCCTTCAAACACTTAGGGACTACTTCACTTAAATCAGCCTTGTCTCGAGACAGTCTGTTTTGGAATGCTTCCTGACTTGTGCAGATTTAAACCCAATCAGGTGTCTGGGACGCCCAAATGACGAGTTAAATAACGTGTTTCTTGTACGGCAATTCCACATGACCAAAATTGAGTCGCGACGCTTTTAACGAGCAAGGTGAAGTATTCCGGAACCAAGAATATCCCTTATATTTACGTGTACCATCTGATGGTATGAAAGTTACTTTCGATTAGAAGAGAGTATTTACAAATTCATGGAATAAGAACTATCTTTATTCAAAGATAAAAGAGATGTGTGCTATTTGAGCGTATCATCATACCTTTTCGCTGGGTTTTTTTGGATATGCGATGCTTCATAATGGCATTGATCCAATCGCTTTTACTACAACGTTTTTAACTAACTATGCTTATCTGCGTTCAATATTCGTTGATGGAAATACTCTGGAATAATGGTAGAGGGTTACCATATCTTATTTATCCTCGAGTTAACATTACGTGATTGTTTTGTTAGGTGCTGTTGAGCATCGATGCGGCGGCACCTTCAAGGAAATATGATTTAGTATAGTTTTCCCCACACTGAATCATCCAGTGATAATATGATAGTCTTCATCAGACTGTCATCTGATTATCACTTTACCGTTCTTTTACTAGTTAATGTAATAATCTTAATATTTACTTCACTATTAAAATTTGTACTAATCGAACACCTTTGATTGCCTAGCTATTTATAAGGACGAACATCACTTGATGCAATGCGTCTTAAGTGTAAGGGCTGATGCCTTTTAGCTTCAATATAAGCTTCGAATGGGCAGCGTAGCATGAGCATATCGGTTCCGTGTTTCTATTGAGGAGAGACTCTAAAAAATCGACGTCTTTACCTAACGTAAGTATTCTTTGTAACGTCTAGATGGAAGGAGTCAATTAATTATTGTGGTGTTTTCGGGAAACATAAGCGGGTCGCTCAATGAAATATTTGCAAAGTACGATTGAAGCACGCCTTGAAAAACGTAACCGCACTGGGGTTATCCTATCATACCACATAAACTATTACAAATTAAGTTCCTGAAAATTGCAGTAAGTCACTTTAAAAACCAGATAAGGTCTATTTGTAAAAAAAAATCGGTGAAACACGCCAAATACTCAATTTTTGGAAATTAATTATCGTTTCTATTCCCAGAGAAGCCATACAATTTTAGAGGATGACGTTTAATGTCTGCAGCAGTTTCAAGTCAGTCGGATGCTTAAGTAAAGTAACATGAAAACTGCGAAAACTTTACTGCTCGAAGACATTACCGCACAGCGCAACATGTACCGAATCTCACTCAAATGCGGGAGTCGTTTTGCCGATTTTACTTATAGCTGGACTCTAAGCCAGAAAGTATTAAGAATAATCGAGTTCGAACGGTACCGATCATCAATGCTGACAGGAGGATAGCAAAATTACGGGCAATATGTGGAGGAACAATGTTTCGAAAAAGACTCTTGTCTAGACTTACGCCCGCAAATATCCGGAATAGAAAGGCTATTCGACCCAGCGATTTACGAGAGATCAAGTTAATGGATCGATCGCAGATAAAATGCGATGTGCTCAGCACTGGAAAGCCATCCGAGCAGAAGTGTTCGACCCCCTAAACGAAGAGAACTCTTCAGCAATATTAATGCATGGGGAGAGCTACAAACCACGATCGAGGTTGATTTCAGTAATTTTTACGATTTTCACGATTTTTATATGAGCATCGGAAACTGCTGAATGGTAATGATCCGCGTTGAACGGCTTGCGTCTGACTTTTTGGCCGTTCGAGAAGAAATCCTGGGGAGTTTAAGATTGGGTTATGTGTTGTTGATCCTGTCTTGTAGACATAAGCCGCCGAACTATTAATGCACATTATAATATCAAAATAGATCACTGAACATAATTGCTTTTATGTCGTCTTGTAAAGTGTCTTTATTGTATTATTGAGCATATAGAGCACTGATAGTTTACGGCGACTTACAAAGAAAATGTACTGCCAAGAAGGAAGACAGTAGAGTTGACAGTGCAGATGTTGTTATTCTGATGACACCGAATAAATGATACTGCTTACAGATGAAGAGCGCAGAGGAAAGTACATTGAAACTAAAAAAATAATGAAAATCTTATCACTTGCCTCAAATGTGAAATAAGATGACAACGAGTAATTTTACTTACCGCAAATTTGTCAAGGCCGTAAACGGCACCGTACAAAGCGAAACTCTACTGCAGGTTTAAACGAAAAGCCGCCAATGCATGTTCTAAGCACAACTCCATTCGGGGGCCAGCAATGTTGTATCAGTTAAAAGAGACTGAAGCAGAGCGGTTAGCGAGTTTGCTGAGAACAACCACTTTCTTCATATGTACATATGAAAATACTCAGTCAAGTGACGATTTGCCTTCTTTTCGTTTTCCTGAACAGAATTGATCTGAAATGCAAAATCCTATAGGAAAAATAAAGGCGAAAAAGGTTCACGTACGAATAATTTATGGGTCAAAATATATCGCATTAGATTTGCAGTGTTACTATACCGGGTAATAAAAACGTCCGATAAGGTTAAGCGGTTTGTTCGTTAACTCTTCGCACCTGATACCCTTTACAAAGGAACTTCCGTATACTACAGCAATTGAGAAGTTTGTACGTTTTTTTTATGAGTCTGTACAGCTTTCCACAGTGATTCGCAAGTCGATTTCCTTTTGTTCTCAATATCTATATTACTGAAGATATATTCTCGTGCGGCTATGACCTTCATCACATTATCTCCTAGTATCGCGAAACATACACTTCATAGTTGTTGTTACAGTGATTACACTATGTCACGCCTACGCTACAATTCCAGATTGGATGATATAGATAAGTGCACCTAAGTAACAGATAAGTCTGTTTTAAAAAAGTACGCTCTTCAACTAAAAGGCAACGCACATACATCATTGAAGTACACTCATTATTCTGTGACTGCATGAGATAGCATAGCCTATAGAGGTGTCAGCTGATTTATAACAACAGCATTCACGGTCAGAGGCTGCTTAGGCCAAAGACATTTGTCCGTCGGACTTACTGCCGATGTAATTACTTACGCACAATATTGCGGGTGGCAGCCAAATGCACCATATCATGGAGGAAGGAAGGTCGACTATTTATGAGAGCAATGAGAGCTTCTTTTGCCTCTGCTTATCTAGGTAGACAAGCAGTAGACATCTGATACCCTCCCTAGGAGCCACAAAATCAAAAAAGCTGTGCGTAATATAAAAAAAAAAGTCAAGATAATTAAACATCTTGTTTCCTTATCATTTGTATTTAAATTATTTGCGAACGGTCTAGTGACGGCAGAGGAGTAAAAGGAAGAAGCAACAGTTTGCCACAAGCTGCAAAAGGCTTCGTGCTTGCTATATTTTCTACGATGACCAACTTGATTATGCACCGTCAGGTCCTTCAATGTCCTTTTCTGAAATGTGCGCGATATAATCCAAGCCGGCTATTTTGCTAGCTATATAAGAATAGTAGGTTATTGTTGCACTCGTTTTTGCTTCTCGGTGCTGCGCTACGTAAAAAATAAGCTTGAGATATTCTCCACGAAGGTCCCGATCATAGTAACATTTTTATCTTTGAGAGGACATAACCGAAAGACAGAGTTGGTCTTCAATGACCATTCCATATTCAGGGTGTCTAAGTATTTGAGAGCGTATGTAAAATAGTTTTATTCACTGTAAGTATGGATTTTAGGTTTCGTAGTTGTGCAAGTTGCTATAATATTATCAGCGCATTCAGTAGCTGAGGTAACACTATACACAAAAATATATTAATCGTTCTACCTTTTACAATTCTTCAGCACACGAAACCTCTACCCCCGATTTCCCGATAAGCATTTCTTTTAAAATCAAATACAGACAAAATCCACTGTCTGGTGCTCCCTTTTCTGTAAGCTTATAGCGTGCTACATAAGTAGCGATCATAAACTAAATGTTTTGTCCAATAATATTTTACTGCATTTAGCTTTGACGCTTGAACGGAAATGGAATCAAAATAGATATTTTTAGAGGCTTTTAGAGTGCAGCAAAAATCCAAATTCTTAGACAACGGAAAACAAAATCCGGTAAAAAAAAGGCTACATTCCTAGGCCTCATGTTAAAATTCTTTGTAGCGACAACAACAGAAAATCAACGTTGAGACGATGGGTGTCATCATTGAGGCTGGAGAACACAAAAAAGAATCATCTGTAGGATTTTTTCGCTTAGTTCGGTTGTTCTGCATTTAGCAACATAGCTTTGGAGTTAAGCTACCAAAGCTGCTCTACCACAGCAGGACATGAAAACTGTTTGGTTAAATGAAAACCTACCTAGCGTATCAAAGCAAACAAAGCTATACACATAACTTACGCATTCCCACATATAAAGGCGTACTTAAAACGGATAAAATATTTACTGATAGCTTAGACAGGAAACGGTTCTTAACACCATTTTGCATTAGCCCAGTCAAGATGTTAAATTCTAACTTTGGATGACAGATATCATTGTGATGGCAAAAAATTGGTAAATTGCTCGAAGACCGATACAGTAATCCGCGATTATAATACGTTGTCATTGCATAAATGCCCTCTAGATACTGAAATAGCCTTCCATTCCTGTAATTTATGTTTTATTACCATTATCAAGATGTTTATCATTACTTTAATGCCATTTCTACATGTTGTCTCAAATGAAATCGCAAAATGAATCGAAGAAGATAATAACTTGATAAGACCAGCATTCATTTTGTTAGCAAAAAATTCCAATTGTTAATAAATCATATTGAGGGTGTGCAGGTTAAAGTATTTTTCATTTACTAGCCCGTTCTACTTTTCTCGCTCTTAAATTAAATCGGAAAGTGTATGGATTATTGATGTCGACCTCATTCATCAAATCTTCAGCAGGTTGTGTCATTATGAATCAAAGGAGCTGTGTATGCCAGAACGTTGTGCATATAATATACAGAGGGTTACCAATATTTTTCCGTGTAACCTCAAAATGGATTTCTAAGTGGAGTGGTTGACCTTATTAAACCATTTAAATATCGTTCACTTGCGTGTTTCAACGGAAGCGATGTGTAAAATACGATTGACCTGCTCGTTCTAGTGGAGCTTAAAGCTAGACATGATGGAGTTTCGCAGAAAATTGAACAATTTGAAGTTCGCGCCTGTTGCAAGCATATGTATTTATAAACATACCATTCTATGTAACAGACGAAATCAGACTGATCAGTTGTGTTTCGTGATGTAAAAGTCGTAATAATTTTGGAATGTGTAGTGGTTCATATTTTTTAACAGATTCTCGGTGTTGCTTCCTTCGTAGATGTTCGCTGGTTGTATCGGATTACTACTGGTGCTAGGCGGGTTAAATTGTATTAGTAGTATTTCTGGATTTTCGCCGGTCACGTGGAACACCAGAACGGTGGCGTTGCTATTGACTTTGGCAAGCTCCGTAACCGTCGGAACGAATGTCGGCAGAAACGATGTCAGCTCTGCCAATTGGGCCCATCGCGGGCGTCAAATACCCAATTGAGGTGGGCTAGATGAATTACAAAGCTTTATTGCTTCATGTTGATAAGTTGTGAGTGGATGCCAAAATCTTAACACTAACGAATCAGTGAACGGTGTTTTAACTTGATGGAAGCATGCGCTTTTGCTTCAATTGAGCTTCAATAAGTTAGCTTCGGACTTTCTCCATATTAATAACAAATTAGAGCCAATTTTTCAATCCTTTTATCATGTGATATATATTCGAATACGTATTAAATATTTATGCACGTAACATAACTAATGCTTATCGCGCAGAATATTTAATGACTATTTACAAATTTCCGAGAGATGGTATTAAGCTGGATTTCTTGGTTATATAGATAACAGTGGTAACACTGAACACGTTAAGTATACGGCATGTTTTATTTTTTTGACAGTATAGAAGGGTGTCGCCATTTTATTTTCTGTGTTCAGCGTCTGATATTATAAATAAGTATACGGTTTATAGAAAAAGCTATTATTCTCAACAATTTTATTACAGAAGTGATATAAATCCTGAGTATAAAAACTGCTAGGGGGAGGCTTGATTATTATTAACTATATAAAGAGGCATCAACTTATTTAACTTCCAAAGCAATACTAAATACAGTATCAGATGTTTTTAACAAGTTGAAGCTACAACAACGCCATTATTCATTTAACACAACGTATCATGTAACCAAATTGTACTGCTGTGCCGTTTTTTGGTAGCCGCTTTTACTTTGAGTTTATTTGCATTTATCATTTTAACAGGTTCTGTACTGTGGGGAATGTTCAATGCCCATAGAATATTGCGAATACTATTCAAATGCTTCTAAGTGCCAGGAATGGCTGCAGAAACATTTACCAGAGGAATTTGAGAAACGACTGAAGCTTACTGAAAGAACGGCAGGCAGTGACGGACAAACAAAAGGTACGTTAAAATTCTGTTTCAAAGTGCAATGACAAGAGCCAAATTATCTACGATTTGGCAATATTTTCTTCATTTGGATCTCTTTTGAATAAACGTAAATACTAAAGGATTTCAGGAAATCAAAAAAATTTTATTTTATATATATAAAAAAGATTTATTAGAATACAGAATATTTAGAACTATTTGACTACTTTAGTTGGCGAAGGTGGCGTCGGAGGATCGGGAGCGGCTGGTGGAGGTAGGGGTACAGGTGAAGGAGTTGGTGGTGACGAAGAAAAAAAGCGCCAAAAACGCGGTGGTAAGGGCGTTATTAAAACAAAAAAGAAGGTCGAAAAAGAACGCCATATTCAGCTCAGTAGACAGGTAATTTCCATTTTTCTTCGATGCCTCGTACATGCATGTTTACATACACATATAACGCTACATAACTATGTATACGAATATCCTATTCTTTTGTAGTGTGTTTCTAAAGTTGCAGTTCACTAACTAGCGTAAAACCGATTACCTGAGTACTAGACACAGGCGTGTTTCTGACGCTCAAAAAAATCTGTTTTTTAAAAAGAATTTAAATTGTAAGTTCCTATAAATTGTTCACATTATAGAATCCTATAAGATGGCTGATCCACTTCATATTCTGAGCTTCTTTCGTTGGACCTAGCGTCTCTTGGATAGTCTAACTGTCATCAAATACGTATGCATTGTTTTAAATACAATCTGATATGCAGTAATCTAACAACTGGTGTTGTAGTTTCTGCTGTACTAAAGTGCCGAAAAAAGCATATGTTTATTTATTGATAATTCCATTTCACCAAACATTTAAAGCTTTTAACAAATCCCGCGTGTGATGCTAGATGCAGTTGTTTCATTAAAGCACGTTGTTCTACTGTCGTTTAATTTGGAAAACGAGTAATAATCCAGTGATTAAAATCAGTTTCCTGTTTTTTAGGATTCGTTTATTTGCAAGCTTGAAGTGACCACATGTTTATGAAACGTGTTTCCAGATCGCTTCTCGTATGATTATGTAAATTTCGTAGCATGATTGCTGGTATCACTAACCAATATTGCAGTATGATTTTGATAACAATATAATGATTAAGCTACTGCAATAATACTAACGCTGGTTGGCCGTTGCGTTTTCATTTCGAATTGTTTGCTCCAGGCACGGGGCAAAAAAAAGAGCGTAACTGTGATTCAGGGGCTGGCGACATTTGACATCGATTTAAAGGAGGCCTCTAAGTTGTTTGGACACAAATTCGCCTGCGGCAGTTCGGTCACGGGGGAAGACGAGATCGTAATCCAGGGTAATTATGACATATGTTTCGCTGTCTAATAGTGTAATCTGGTGATACAAGTAGGTATAAACAATATCTAATGAAGTAAACTGCAATTATACTGTATCTGGAAAACGTATTTTTAAATTAATTATTTCGTAGGTAGCATTGCTTATCTGATCGGTGTGGCTCATTTTTTCCTCAAACCAATAATTAAACTCCGATTTATTATGAAAGTACCAAAGTGTAGAATAATTTTTTCATATTTGCTCAATGTAAGCTACATACGGGGCAAATTTTGTCGCATGTTTGCCTACGCTCATAGACTGCCATAAATTAATGTTAATAAGTGTTTGCTACACAGAAATTACTGCGTGGCTGTTTTAGAACCCTGTTATCGCAATCTAAATCTTATTTTTATTATTTTAGCCTTAAAAAAACAATCCTTTAAGATTTTTTGAAAAAATTGATAATTTCGATTTGCAGCAAGTGTGGCAATTTCCACAAAAAGCTGTATAGTTTTGCATATAATTGAGTTTTTAGATTTCTTAGTTTATTATGGGACTCAATTTCAATCTTTATGTATTGTATTGTATTGCTTTACAAAATCATTATTCGCGCCTGGAAACATTTCAAAAATAACTAAAGTTAATATAGTAAGCTTATCTTTTTATTGTTTGCTCAACATTGTGTTGTTACTTCTCCCCTGCTTCCTCTTCTATTAATGGATTTATAAAGCGTGTTTTAGAGTCGCTTCATTGCTGCTATATATTGAGGACAAGCAGGAACGAACTTCATTTTTCGTTTGGATGGGTTCATATTTACTTTGAGCTTAGATGTTTTTTCGCTTAGAGGTTCGTAGTTGCATTTCAATAGACTTTTTGCACCGAGCTTGTCTACGTGCAAAAGAGCCGAAATCCACATTAAATTATTTAACTGAATATTAATTAAGAGGAATACTTTTTATTCCAGCTTCATGTTTTAATAATATTCCTGTTCGACTCATTTTGATTTATTTAAATAAGTGTCTCAATCCTCTGTATCTCAACTGCTGCTTCTTTCTAAAGTAATCGAAATATTTCTTGTTGGACCCGGCTTGTCTCACATCTAATTTATTATTTATGATTGTTTTCCGATGTGACGTACTCTTAGGTGACGTAAAAGATGACCTCTACGACCTTATTTTAGAAAAGTGGCCTGAGATCGACGAAGAAGCTGTTGAGGATTTGGGAGATGTCAAAGCTCGTTAGGTCTTACCTATATAAAATATTTCAACAGGCTAAGCATTAAAATACTAACTCGTGTGTTGTCTATATATACATTTACATATACAATATATATGAATAAATGTGATTTAATAGTGATAATAATTAAAGCAGGGTTGTGTGTAGCTGTAGCCTTTTTTATGTTTACGTGCTGTTTTGCTTCGAAGACTTGCACGTAATTTCTATTATAAAATCACCTAAACAACTGAATGTAGTCGTATTCCATAACACAAATCGAAAAGCTGATTGCAAACTGGGTCTTGTTTTTCTATCCTCTGGATTACGTTAATGGTCGTTATAAATAGGGTACGTAGACATACCGTTTCCAGTGTCACATTTCTGTTTTCTTGTATTTTTTTTTAAAAAGAGTCAAGCATTATTGGCTGCGCAGAGTTTGTTTTTTTTTCTTATACACAAACCATATTTAAAAGCTAGTCTCAGCGGCATAATTGATAGGTTGATAGATTGATAGATTGAACTCTCAGTGTGGTCGGAGCAGTGCTGCATCTGTAACACTGATCTTAAATGAGTGCGGTGAAATGTTGAATCTCTCACCACTCTCAGGCGCTTACATAGGAAGGTTATATTAAGCACAGTTCTGCTGAAACGTATGTGAGTGCTTTTCACAAAAAGCTTTTGATGGACAGATCTAGAGCTTGATAGTAATAATGTCAACCATAAGCGGAACATTCAAAACATTAACTTCTTTGATGGTTTCTGCACTACTTACCTAGCTTGTAATGTCAGTATGGTATTTGTATAACAGGTTGGGTGGATATTAATATGCAGAGCGTTCCGTCTAAATTTGAAGAATGTGTCTTTTAGTGTCTTCCGTTGTTATGGTGTATTTAAGTGGACACATTTTTGCATGTATCCACAATGATTCCGCACGAGCATATTTGTTATTTAATGTAACTTCACTTCATTCTTATTGTGATTTGAATTTAAAGTCTGAACTGCCAAAGTGCCCGCTTCAGAGATATCTGTCTGCTCTGCTGAACGTTTTCATAATAGAGACAATGGGGTTCGAGCTGGGAATTATGAAGATATCAGATTAATATTCGCGTATGCTTCTTTAGCACCGTAATAGTCATTAAACTATTTCTGTGCGTTCACGTTCTACTGAAAAAACGTGCCTTATTTTTGTAACATCAGTGAATCTGGCATTGTACTATAGAGCATTAAAGAAATCTAAGGTTTAACACACTTACCAGAATGTGTTTAATATGCTTTTCATGGAATAAGAATGCTGTTGTATATCATCACGGCTTATTGTTGTAAATTTGATTGAAATATATTGGCTACCTGAGTCCTATCAGTTTTGGATCGTATCCGTATTAAACCACACTAAAATCCATAATAATGTTATATAACGTATCAAAAAAATGTATACATAGTTTGAATGATTATAGTTCAAGAATCTATATATAACGCACGCATTTTCCCTTACCGCAGGTGTTTAAAGTTATTACGGTTCGGATCAATATACTGATGATAACTAGCCTATTGAATACCTATAAAAAAAAAAGCTGACTGCAGGTCTGGGAAAAACGCAAGGTATTCTATAGGACATTTTGCTCCAATTCATCTGCTTGAAAGATTCTAATTAATATAATATAATCCCTTATGGCTGAGATCAAATAGTAGTTTCTTTTCTATATATATTGGTACTCAATGTCTGTAAGTACCTTTAGTTATGTTACCAGCGACGAAGTATAGCTAGCCCACGGTAGACTAAAATGTCCTATAAGGAATACGTCAACAAATTTTAGTCACATAGAACAATTCTATTGAAAAAATGTTCCTTAGGTTACAAGTAAGATTGGAGCTGTCAAAGATCTCCTGATGGTCAACCTACGATTATTTGGCCATTAAACAGATCTTCGAAAAATGGTATGTCCGTTACGGAAATGTTATAAATTAAGAATATTAAGCACTTACTTACAGAACAAGATAAGGTTAGATATATCAAACAGAAGTCAATATCTATGGCAGCTTCAATAAGCAGATTTTACCAAAAAAAAGCATATAGAGTTTATTTCAGCGAAAATCATGGCTCAATTTAAGATCTTTTCGGATACAATCTGTCTCTGAATTTTCGATGATACAATTGCTTTAAGTGCGTTTGTAATAAGGAAATAAATTTTCGATGATTATACATGCAAAGCTGAAAAAGATCGATACGTCAGTCAGCCGAACTGAAGAAACCAGAATATGAAGATATCAATGTTCATATCTCGGTTTCTTCAGTGGAAACGGAAGTACGTAGATAAAACAGTAAGTTGTACGTTAGAAAAAACTGCGTACTCACATTAGTGGTTCGTGCAACTGAAACTTACCTGGAAGCAGACAAAGGTATTTTATAATGGCACCAAGTTAATAAGATCAGGACAACTTCGAAATACAATAAACGTAAAAGTTACCAGAAACACAAAATAAAAAAAACGGTAACGCCAAACTAGGGTCGATTTTTCCACTTGGGCTGAGTACCAATTTTGAGGAACATTATTACCCACTCTTATCAGCGGCAAACATATTTAAAAAACTGAATGAACGAAGTGTTTCTCTTCTATTATTTTAAGTGCATACGTACGACTTGCGGTAGATAGTGAACCAAAAAGTCTACTACTCTAAGGAAATTATCCAGATATAATACGTTTGTTTGGTGTAAAAGTAAAAGAATTTTTAAGAGAGGAACTAATAAACACACAGTGTAGATCCTAAAATTTAAGTCTATTTAAGTGATATTATTGTATGCGATTCTTTAATTAAGGAACATAATTCAAACCCTTAGAAATTTTTGGAAAAATCGACAAGTTAAGGTTAAAAGTAAAAATAAAAAATGTCACCTCTTCAAGATTGAAATTAAAATTCTAGGACTTTTTATAAGCTCAGAGAATAGAACTGGATTCTAATTGAATAAAAACAGTTTTTTGTTTTGCCTTATTAAAAAAAGAAAAAAGATTTTCGACTAATCCAAATCCGTTTCGTGGATTCGTTTAAGACTCCCTGCGATATTGCCTTTGTACTTTTACGACAGTTTCGTACATCTAATATAATAGTATTTCAAATAGATCTTTTTGGTTTAAAAGTTATTGGCCCAATTATTATTTTCGATTAATTACACTTTGAGAAGCATGAATTAAAAAAAATAATCCATCAAGCAGTACTTATATTTTATAGCATTTTTTTTTATTTATCACTTAATAAATTACATAATCTTTTTTATTATAGCCTATACCATTTTATTGTTTTGGTGCTACTATTAGTATAGCGTATTCTATTTCGTATGTTAGCAACAGTTAACAAATTATACTGCTGACCATTATTGGAGCATATTGGATACACTGCATGCTTGTATACAGTTTATTACACATCTTAGAAAAGAATCTACCAGACAATGGCTGATTGACAAAGCATAGCCGTCATCATTTACAAATTTCACGATTTGTAAATTCTCACGATTCGATGTAATTTGGTGTCATGAATTAATGCAGCAAGTAAAAAATTATCTTCAAGGCAAAATGGAACGAATATACACCAGTATATAAACAAAAATTCAAAGCAACGGTTGAAAACTAATCTTACATTGTAGCTTTTTAAATTAGATTTGAGTATTTCCAGAATTTTCTTCTAAATTGCTAAGCTTTTATTGACTTTATTTATAGATGGATTCTTACATTGTGTCTCGAATCGCTCTGTTCCTTACAGCCATAAATGAACCTCTAGCCATTGCAAACTTGATTATATGTTCATTAGCTGTTGGAAATTGTTGCGTGTCCTAGAGGTAAAAAGATCAGGGCTGTTTTAAGTAGGCTAATTTGAGATAATAGGGACATGACGGTGATTAAAACATAGAGAGTAAATGAAAGATCATCGGGTGCCATTTATTTTACGCTTTCTCTTGCATAAATTAACGATCGCCCTATATCTACCCACATAGGCGATGGCCTGAACACCTTGAAAATGCTTGTCCTTGAACAAAATTCGCAACACAGCTATAACGCCATCGTTCCTAGCTCCACAGTTTTCTGACAAGACTTCAACTAAAACGCGACGTGAACACGGCCCCCTGTAAGCATAACAGCCTCACAAGTCTCTCTCGTAATAACACGGGACATTGATCAAACCTGTTGCCTGACGCTAGCTGATGTCGAATGCTGTGCCAGCTCTGTAAGTGCAAGAAGAGATAGTGCGTGCAAGAAGGTAAGCACGTATGGAATTGGGTGCATATTGGAGTTAGCTTTTCCCAAAGTAAAACTATACCGATCATAAAAATTACTTCAATCCATCCACGCTGAAAAGTCGACTTGGGTCGAACAGATGCGCTACACAAAACCTTTAGTAGTTAATTAGACAGATCCACGGATTATATAGCCCGTCCGTTTTGCCATTAATTTATCTGATTTGTTTACTTACACTCAACCTAACATGAACTCCTGTAAATACGTACCATCACTTGTATTACTTCATCTGAGCTGTTACTTTTCTGTAATTACTTTACCGGTCCGTTTTAATATTTTTTCTAGGGAGCTCAGCCGACTCTAGATTTATCTGTCGATTTTTCTCTGAAAATTACTTGAAATTTTTTTCCCGAAAATCAATTCTACAATAGCCTATTTAGCTTTCAAACTGACATTTACTAGAATTTTGCTTAAATAACTACTTGAAACACGTCTTCGTTCCGTTGCTACAAACATGAACTGATACGATCGACTGAATTTTCGCAATCTTCATTTATAAGTATCAATTCTAGGTATAAATATATTTATTAACCCGTTGAAATCTAAAACATAGAAACATGTAGAATAACATAAAAACAACATAGAAAATCATGTAAGATCTTTGCTCTTCGAAAGACATTTTCACACTGAAAACCGAATTCTGGGTTTACGGAAACGCATTCTATTGTGATGGAGTTCGGCAAGAATTTTTGGTCGGTTCCCGATATCAACCACCATGTGAAAAGTCGGCTACAATTTTGTGAGTAGAAAAAAATTTCAACAAATAGTAGCCCATCTTAACCTTGACAACATTCAAATTTTGTATACATGTGTCAAGAAATATTGCAAAAAATGCCAAAAAACGTACAAAAATTAACAAAAAACTGCCTATGTGCTCGAATTAACATAGGATGAAAAACAAACTTTTCCCAGGCAAATGTATTCGCACAGTTGGCTCCATTTTATGCACAGCAACTCCGAATGCTATCTTAACTATCCGTCCAAATCAATGCGATTTGATTATTTTAAAAGGTTGATTTAGGTTGAATAAATGGACAAATATAGTTTTAACAGTATACTAAGTGAATTTCTATGTTTCGATTTTTATGTCCGGTATCGCCATTAGGCATTCCATCAGACAAATGGCTGCCTCCCAGCACGAAGTGAAGTCTATCTATGCTCGGCCGGGTATTAGATGGACCTGCAGATTTCACCCCGTACCTTTTCCGATTCGTTCACCTCTGTTTCTAGTTTTACATTCGGTAACGAAAATTATAAGTCAGGTACAGATTGACAAAAATTAATTCTGAACTCATGTTCATCTCATTGTTACATAGGGAAGGTATCTTTTGGTAGTAATTGGAAGCTCTCTATGAGCTAAATCGAAATGCAATTTATTTAAATATAATTTAAAAACAAAGTGTGATTTAAATGAAGAAGTTACGGCATTAACTCTCGCCTTTTTTCACGCTGAAATGCCGAAATGTTGATTCTAACTGTAGAAAGAGGTATTGCATTTTTATTTAGCTCGTCGAGATGTATAGATTAGTGTAAATAATTGGCGTCAATAAAATGGTACTTATCATAGAACGAATGTTTCCATATTTTGGGATTTTTTTAAAAAATCTTTTAGAAGGTATTTTCGAAAACAAATATTCACTTGAAGTATTCATTATATCAAACATTTCATTTAGAAAAACTTAAAAGTAGCTCAAAACTCGTTTTCGGCAAACTTTTACGTAGACAAGGCAAATACTTCAATTGGTTCTCACGCCGCAATATCGATTTTAAGTTATAGAGGTGTATATGTCACTCAGCTCAAAGATGTATCGATTTTTATCAAGAAAGATTTCTTTAATATATAGAACGCTATGTTAAGCTTCCGCCGTTCGAAGGGCATTTCCAACTTGAAAATTGAGTACTGGGTGTTGGAATAAGCATTGCATCTTGATTCAGCTCGGCAGAAACAAAAACGTTTTCTTCTTATATACCTTTATACAAACGTTCACTACCATTTTGTCACTAGAAAACACTCTACCAAAAAATCACAAGATATTCACAATTGGAAAAGGCAACTGAAAAGGAATATATTTCACTCGCAAAATAACATTAATTAAATCGGCTCCTTTTCATGCACAGCTCTTCTAAGGGCAAATGTATGCAAAGACACCTCGCAAAATATAACAGCTGGTATCGTATAATTAAACACGAGTCTGAGGTTACGTAGGGCTAGTGCGGGCGGCTTTTGAGCATCTGTCTCTACCAATCGACAACAAAGTTCACATCGATTCATGCCAACATGATGACCTCAATGATCGGATGACAGGAAATGGTACGTGCAAGCGACTAATGCTACAGCCTAAATAAACAGAATGGCAGGTGTTCTTGGGAAGAAGGGAGTAACACGCGTTATTAAAAATGATATGAAACCCTACTAATTTTGGCTAGACCGAATATACATGAGAGAATATAGATGAGAGTAGAATAGTCGGTATTGCAGATACGTGTTCGCTATTATAGACCAATGTGGCTAAATATATAATGGCTGTTAAGCGTTCATTCTTGCCTTTCGATGATGAATCGATGCGCTTGTGAATGAGTGAAATATTAGAGATCTTACTGTAATTATTCGTCACTTACGTTCAAGTAAGTCGTTTTCATATGTGATAATCTGTATGTATGAATTCCTAAGAACGACAGAATTACGCAGATTATTTTTACATAAGAATCAAATTTCGAGTTATAGTTAATGGTCAATATTGCGATTTTGAAGTTTATTATAATAACACTAGAAAGACTAGCTATAACAAAAAATACCTCCAAATTCCTGGCAAGGTAGTCGATTGTACTGAGCAAATATATGTTTTTGGGCAGTACCAAATGAACAGGGTCTTAACTTTACGTAAACGTCTTTGGGCCTCCTGGGATTATTAAAACATCCCAAATAAATCAGCTCTAAACCTAAAAATGTCTGGGCACAGAATAGCCTTTGTTGTTCAAACAATTTGTCTAATATTTATCATTTGGTGTGGTTAGTTTTTGTAAATATTGCTGCATTTTCAAACTTTGTATCTTTAAACGATGTTTGATAGGCAAAAGTGAATAAGCTAAATTTAATTTTTTAAAGCAGAAAAATCTAATACATCAAATCCAAAAATCTTCGAATTTGACTTAACAGTCCTGTTTATTTTGAATCACATGATCTAAGATGAATACCCGACAAAAGAGGTGTCTCCGTTAAGAACATATGTTTTCACGTTCTCAATTGGAGCAGTCACTCTCTATTACGATCACTTTTACGATCAGTGCCTAGGTTTTCTCTATGAATTCAAAATACCTTGTGTTTACAGCTTCTTTTCAACCCTCTAAGACTATGGGGCATCATTACCTCATTTTTACCACTAAAATCCAATGTTTGTTTAAAAATGAGATAGAA